AAATAATGGAACGAATAGAACAGTGAACACTCCTAACACCTTCAAATTAAAAAAAAAGTTACCATTTTGCCATATTTGCTTTATTTCTCTGAATAGATATTTATACTCCCCCCTCCCCCAGCCACTGAAAGTTATGTTGTAGACCTCATGACACTACATTCTTAAATATTTGAGCATTGATTTCCTGTGGATTGTTCTAAAGGCCAGCCCAAATTCAAACATTGTGCAGAGACTCTTTTACTAAGACCTAATCAGGACAAAGAAAGACAGATCATTCTGGAATGAAGGAAACCATCAGTCTGGTGCCAAAAGGTATTCTGATACATCCTGATCACGAGCTTCATTATAAAATGTGGAGCACTGTTTTGGCTAGGACTAAAGTGAGCCAAAGGCCAGATTGGGATGGGTGCTTGACTATAATCAGGAACTTACAGAATTGGTTCTAGGGTTCCTACTACTGCCCAAATAAGCTCCTTAGTCCTTTGTGCCAGGGGTAAGAGAAAACTGCCTCTTTCTAAAGCTGCTTGATGGCTTTGATCACCCTTCAACATACTCTCCCTGAGGGCAAAGCAACTGAGCAAGTTTGCTGGTCAGAAAGTTCACCGGTCGGGCTTCTGGGCTGTGTAAAAGAATCACAGTGGAGTTAGGGCTCCACCACTGAAGACCTTAGCCTTCTACAAGCCAAGTGTTTTAAGTTTTAAACTAATACACAATAAAGATACTCTCCTGATAATCACAGTACCACTATCACTAGAAAATGAACAAGAATTTTATATAAACTAATAGTCAATACTTAAGATTTCCCCAGTAGTCCCAAAAATGTCTGTGTGCTTTTTCTTCCATATACATAATCAGTCTTTATGTACTGTGTTTGATTATTTTGTCACTTTTAGTCTGCAACAAGCATGCTTTTCCATGATGATTATCTTATCCCATTGATTTTTTAAAACTTTCAGACCAAATGTTTTGTAGAGTGTCCCACACTGTAGATTTGTGAGCACATTGTGGCAGGTATAGAGGTGACACCATTCAGTATTTGCTGGCTTCACAAAGGGGGAAGAATCCGGGGGAGGGAAGATTAAACATGGAGTTGTAGAATTTGATGGGTCGGGGGATGGGGGAAATTGGAAGAATCTGTTCCGGAAAACAATATATTAGAATTTTGTAAATAAACTAGTGTAATAATAATAGTAATAATAAATAATAATAATAATAATAAAAAACCCCAGTTTTTAAAAAGAGAAGGAAGAATCTGCATCAACAATATCAGTCACACAAAGTTGATTTCAGGGAGGTTGGACATGCTCTCCATGCTCCATACCTCCTTCTAACAATTTTAACACTAACTGTCCCTCCTATAGCTCTCGCTACCTCAGTGCTTGCTAATTTGTTGAAATGGCCACACAGACTTACAGACAGTACTTATAGTTAATTATGGGGGAAATGAAGTTATAATGTGTGTTTAGGGGAAATAAAGTACAGTATACAGCTGGATAACAGGACAACTTCTCAGCCATGCTTGTAGGCAGAGCTCTCTCTGACCCTTGGCCTTGGTCTCTGCCTTCCTTTGGCAAGTGTAACAGAGCTCTCTTAGCCCTATCAATTAGGTACCACTGCTGTTCTGCCAATTACACATAGATGTGAGAGCACTCAGTTCTCTCTCTGGATCTGCACGTTGAGCTCCCCTGACAAGCGCTCCCCACATACTCACTCTGCCAGCAAGCACTCAGCTTCTTCACTCAGTGGGCCAGGACCCCACAGCTCCATCTCACACTGGTCTCTGGTTTTCAGGGCTCTGTTTCTCCCCCACCTTTACTGCTGTTAACCTGGGCTCTTACAGTCTTGTGCTCTCTCTCTCTCTAGCCTGCACAGGAATTGCAGATTCTGAGATTCTCTGGTTCTTTGTGGTAATTGGGATTTGCATTTCCCCCACTTCTAGCTCAGTTTAAGCATAGTAAGATGGCAAAGTGGGACAATCCCAGCACACCATTCTATACCTCTTATTTGCGCGAGCTCATTCAAAAGGTGCCATTTACCTTATTTAGATTATTAGCAAGCTCTCCAGTCTGTTTGCAGGGCCACAAATGCTTCATATTTGCACAGTCTTATCCAACCATGGGTAGACGAGTACTTCAACAAGCTGGATTGACATGGTGACGACCACAGTGGGCTTGACAGATCGTGAAGATGGTGCAGGGAGAGAAAGGTTCAGATCTGTTGTTCACAGGGTCACTAGGAGTCAGCGTAGGTGTGATGGCACCTAACAGCAACAATAATCAAGCTACATCCAGTCATGTGGTAAGAATAATAAAGACAGTTGTTAGAAAAGCCACTGCAGTGCAATACCCCTTCAAATTCATTGCCATTGAGTTCTTAGTTGACATTTCAGGGGGTTTTCTGAAGGTATAAATCCCTCGGGAAGAAATGACCTATTTTTTTCTCTGCTGGGCTATTGGTATATTTGAACCTTTACATTAGCAACACAATTGTCTTTGGGCTAGCCCACCGGAACTCTTTACTGCAGTGCAAGATTGGCTTCCTGTTTTCTAAAGGGTTTTTATCTTATTCATCTGTTCCCTACCCTATAGTTCCTGTAAAGTGGAATGTAAGCCTTGAGGTTTTATTAAAGTCAAGTGTACATCTTATTGCATCATATTAGAAGGCCCAGAATATTGAGTTGCTGTGCTTCTTAAGGTCTGTCCTGTTTGGAGCCTGTCTTTAAATTGGTTAACTTCCAGATCTAGAAATTATAAAGTTCAGTGTTTTTTCTTTCAAATTAATGGGTAAACTGGAGGTGAATTGCCTAATGTAATGGTTTTAGTATCTATTGATAATCTTGTTTGGAATCACTGATTACATTGGGTATCATAAAATTATTTTTAGATTTTATCACCTACAAAATCCATATTTCTGTTCCAAAAAAAGTGACCCAATAGAGTGTGTAAATTAGCGAACAATATCACTAATATCACACAATAGCAAAATCCTGCTAAAGATTATCCAGAAAAGACATTGACAGAGAACTACTATAAATACAAGCTAGGTTTAGAAGAGATCATGGCACTAGGGACATTATTGCCAGTGTCAGACGGATCTTGGCAGAGAGTACCAGAAGAATGTCTGTCTGTGTTTTGTTGACTATACAAAGGCATTTGACTGTGGGGATCACAATAAATTGTGGCTAACCTTCAGGAGAATGGGAATCTCAGAACACTTGATCATGCTTATACAAAATCTATACTTGGACCAAGAAGCAGTCCTCAGAACAGAGCAAGGAAACACTGCATGGTTCAAAATCAGGAAAAAGACATATGTCAGGGATGTGTCCTTTCCCCATGCCTTTTCAATCTGTATGCAGAACAGATCATTCAGAAGGCACGATTTTATGAGTGGCATCAAGATTGGAGGAAGACTCATAAACAACCTACGATATGCAAATGACATAGCCTTGCTTGCTGAAACTGAAGAGAAACGGAAGTGCTTGCTGCAAAAGGTCAAGGATGTAGTCTTCAATATGGATTAAAGCTCAACATCAAGAAGACAAAGATTCTCACTACTGGACAAATTGGCAGCACCATTATAGAAGGAGAAGAGATTGAGGTGGTTTTTATTTACAGCTTGCTCAGATCCATAATCAACACTCTTTTAACACCAGCAGTCAGGAAATCAGAAGACGAATTACATTGGGAAAATCTGCTGTCATGGACCTCTCCAGAGTGCTGAAGAATAAAAATATCAGTCTATATACAAAGGTGCACCTGATCCAGGCCGTGGTCTTTTTAATTACTTGTTATGCTTCAGTGAGTTGGACAATGACTAAGGATGACAGAAGAAGAATGCCTTCGAGTTGTGGTACTGGAGAAGAGTCTTGAACATATGATGGACTGCTAAGAAAACAAATAGGTCTGTCTTGGAGAGCGTGAAACCAAGTCTCTCTGTGGAGACTAGGATTTTGAAATTCCATCTCACATACTTTGGGCACGTGGCCAAGGGAAATCAGTCCTTAGAGAAGGACATCATGCTCGGGAGGGTGGACAGATAGCTCAGGAGAGGAAGACCCTGGATGAGATGGATTGATAAAGTAATTGGAGCAGTGGGGGTCAATGTGTCAGAATTAGTGAGACTGGCTCAGGACAAGGATGGTTTTAGAACTGCTGTACATAGGGTCACTATGCATTGCAGGCGACTCAACAGCACATAACAATAATAACATACTATAACAGATTTGGAAGCAAGGAGTGGCATCCACTTCCTAAACACCATGCCTCCAGAAACTCTATGAACTTTGATAAATGTCTATAGTTGTAGAGGAGCTTCAGACCTTTTGTTCATAGGGTCACTGTGAGTTATGCTTGACTTGAAGGCAATCAACAACAATAACAACAACAGCAACAATCTTTATTAAGGTGTGTGGTTAGAATCAGCGCGCTGTTCCTCAGGAGAGCTCTTTACTGCCTCTGAAAACCCACTGGAGGGTCAGCTATGAGTCGATCGCGACTCAGTGGTACACAACAATGACAACCACCACCACTTTTATTAGGGAGACCTGGTGGCCTAGCAGTTAGGAATTATACTGCCAAGTCAAAGGCACGTGGTTTGGTGCTCCATGGGAGAGAGAGGGGCAAAACCAAACTCCATGACACAGACAGCTGGTTAACTTCGTAAGGATTCTTGGGGTAGTTACTGTCAAATATAAGAATTACTACAGACATCAATATTTTTTTATTTATGTGAGTATATACATAGTATATTTGATTTTTAAATAGCAGCTACATTGATGTCTTTTCACAGAATATTTTTTTATCCTTTATTTTTGCTGTGATTTGTTGAGATACCTTTTTAGTGACAAGAGAGAAAAAACTATAGAACATTTTGAGGATCTTTTGCTTTTCCAAAGTAATCTCTCAGTTTGATCATTTGGGGTGCACTGTCTTTGTGACTTGGGAAAAAGTTCAGGCTCTACTTAGCCATTTAGTCTTGTTCTTTCATGTCTTGCTCAGGCTCCTGCTTACATTCGAGAATGTGCCAGATTGCACTATTTGGGTTCCAGAACTCAAGCGTCAAAGGTAAGAAAAGAAAATTGCCTTCAGCCCAAAGAAGTGAAGAGGATGAAAATTTTAAAACAAGGTTTGAAATAAATGAAAAGCCATGTAGTTATAGCTCAAAGCTATCTAGAGATTAGGAAGAAGACTGAGAGGAAGAAAGTTATATGTTGAAATATAAGAAGGTGTCTCTGTGTTCAGTATTAGGGAAGGCTTGGCCTAGTGGTTAGGAATTGCACTGCCGATCTGAAGATGCATGGTTCAACTCCACCAGCTGCTCTAAAGGAGAAAGATAGGCAATTTCCATTAGTGCAGTTTATAAGCTCTGAAAACCTACTGGTGGGTCAGCTATGAGTCAGTTTGGACTCACAGCACATAACAGCAACAACGTGTACATTATTACCTGCTTCCAGAAGTGTTCCACTGACGGATGGGATCCTCAGTGTGTGAAGGATGGTATCGACTGTATGTTTCAAGTTTTTTCATAAAGCCTTAGTAACGTTTTCCTGTGATAACCTTTGGCAAAATTGCAAACATTTTGGAAGTACAAGTTCATGTACTACTTATTTTTATTTTGGGTTCAGTAGTAAATAGTACACTGTCAAAAAATATGTAAGGCAAAAATTAAAAAAAAATATGTAAGGCAAAAAAAAACCCCACAAAACACAACAACAAAAAACTTAAGATCAGAAGAGTTTAGAGGAGGAACTGGGTAATGCTTATTAAGAGAAAGATTAATATGATAATTGTTACATTGAGCCTAGAAGGTGAGAAGATGTTTTTTTTTTTTTTTAACTGCATCTAAAAATATTAAGGTAAATGTTTAGAACTTTTTTGTGGTGAAAATACACAAAACAAAATGTATTTTTACATGTCCAGTTCAATGACTGGTTAAGTTGTGCAGCCATTCTCTTTAAACTTTTCCAGATCATTCTATATTCACATAAATTCAGTGCCCCGTTAAGTAAGAACTGAAGTGAGAAGCTTGAAAAAAAAATCACACAGTCCTCCCCCTCCCTTTCTTCGTACTATTTCAGTTTAGTCTGTCTCGGTTAAAAGCATATAATTCTAATTATGCTTCTTTTTCTGGTCCTTTTGGTAGTTTCTACCTTTTGTTAAGCAAATATTTGATTTGAGTAGGGGAAAGAGTTAGTATTTGAGCTCAGTTGGTTTAATTCAAGTTTCTGTAGGCTTCTTGGAGAGCTGTGGTTCTCATGCCGTGTAAGTTTGCCTCCTATTGTCGTGTGTGGGAAAGAGCACGAGCTGAGAAGCAGTGCATGTGCTTCGGTATCTAGGTGACTCTCAGTTCATTGCTTTATTTTAACTTTTCCTTCTGTCGAGTGGAAATGAAGATATTTTTCCCTCAGAGGATAGAAGTGAGAATTGTTGTTGTTGTTGTTGTTATGTGCCGTCGAGTCGTTTGCGACTCATAGTGACCCTATGTACAACAGCCCTAAACCCTGCTCTATCCTGTGCCAATTGCATGGCCTCTGACACACCCGTCCCGATTACCCCAGTCACTGAATCAATCCACCTCATAGAGGTTCTTCCCCTCCTGCACTGTCCCTCTACCCTCCCAAGCATGATGTCCCTCTCCAAGGACCTGTCTCTCCTTACAACATGTCCAAAGTATGTCAGACGAAGCCCCAGAATCTTTGCCTCTAAGGAGTAGCCTGGTTTAACCCTCTCTAGGATGAATCTGTTTTCTTGGCAGCCTATGGTACATCCACTGCTCTTCTCCAGCACCACAGCTCAAAGGCATCAATTCTTCTTCTATCCTCCCTAGTTGTTGTCCAACTCTCTGATGCATAACAAGTGATTGCAAAAACCATGGTCTGTAACAGGTGGACCGTAGTCTCCAGAGAGACACCGTTGCTCTTGAGTACTTTAGAGAAGTCCCTAACAGCAGACTTTCCCATCGCGATACGTTTTTTGCTTTCCTGGCTGCTGGTGCCAAGGGTGTTGACAGTGGAGCCGAGCAAACTGAAGCTGTGAACAATCTCAATCTCTTCGCCATCCATCCTGATGCTACCAGTTGGTCCAGTGGTGAGAATCTTTGTCTTCTTGACATTGAGCCTCAGTCCATACTGAAGGCTGCAGTCCTTGACCCTCTGCAGTAAGTGCATGAGGTCCTCCTCAGTTTCAGCGAGCAAGGTTGTGTCATCTGCATAACGCAGATTGTTGATAGATCTTCCACCAATCCTAACGCCACTCTTCTCCTCATAGAGCCCAGCCTCTCAGATAATCTGCTCTGCATACAGATTGAAAAGGAATCGAGATAGGACACATCCCTGGCGTACACCCTTCCCCATTTTGAACCATGCAGTGTTGCCCTGCTCTGTTCTGACAACTGCCTCTTGGTCCAAGTATAGGTTTCGCATTAGCACGATTAAATGTAAATGATATTTTTCCCTCAGAGGATAGAAGTGAGAATTACATGAGATTAAAAGATGCTTTGAAAACAGAACTACTGTACAAGTATAACTCTTGGTAATATTCTGAATGAATTTGTTTCTCTGGGAAGGTCAGATAGGTAAGACTATTTTGAGAATTTCTGATAAATGTAAAAAAAAAATGCTTGTTCCTGGGTTTAGGAATACATAGTCCCTTCCTTTCCTCCATTTGTTTTTGTTCTAAGTTTTTGTGGGAACATGACAACAAAACTGGCAGGAAATATTAGCTTACCTTTCCTTTTCCTTTAGGATGACCTTGATTTGATAACTTCATGCCATTCTAAGACCTTCCAGCTGGCAAAGTCTCAGAATTGGAACCGGGCCAATTCCTGTTCTCATGAGGAGGAGACCCAGCAGCGTACAGAAGAGGCACTGAAGGAGCTGTTCCAGCATGTCCACAACATGCCAGAGTCTGCAAAGAAGAAGCAGCTTATCAGACAGGTGCCTGTAGACCGGAAGTAGTCACAGGGCTTGAGGAATCCATTGTGGTTGGAGAACACTGGGGAAAGTTGTTAATTCCCCCGCCCAGCTATTTCTGAATATTTGGGTGGTTTTTTTTTTTTTTTAATTCTGGAAAGCATCTTATTTATTTATTTTTTTGCCAATGTCTTTATTTTTTTTTTCCAGCAGGGCATATTTTTGCAGCATGACTCAGGTGCTGTGCCCAGCATTCATTCTAGAACCTCATCACTGAACTAATTTTTTTTTATTACTCTGATTTATTTACAAAGTTTATTTTTTACAAAAGATTCTTCCCATTTCCTTCAACCCACCCACCACCCATCAAATTATACAACCCTATGATTAACACCCTACCCCCTAATCCTCACCCCTCTATTTCTTCCTGCCCCCCACCTTGGATCTTCATACTCATTATACAGTAATGGTTTTTTTACAGTATTTGTCCTTGTGGGACTGAGTTAGTTCACTCAGCATAATGCTCTCCAGTCCCTCCCAAGTTAGGTAGTAATTTACAAAATGGGAATGTTGTTAATTTTGACACTTACTGACTCCCAGGTTTGGCTCACCGAAATGCAGGCTTGCCTATGGTACCTCAATATCTACTATTACTCCACTAAAGAAAAGAGTAAAGGCTATTGAATTCTGGAATTAAATAGGAAAATACAATTTTGGTTACAGTTTCTCCAATTTTGGTCCTATACCATGAAAGAATTAGAAGTTATCAGTATATTAGTCCAGGGTTTAAACCCTTCAGATTTACTGGGCAAATAACGTAGTCTTTGTGAATTTTAAATTTCTTGTTTGTTTGTGACATGATAGTTGTGGTGTCTGTATTTCATGGTTGTAAGTATAGAACTATAGATGAACTAATGAGAATTATTTAGAGATATACTAAAGAACTATTGTGGGAGAAGATGGATAGTTTTCTCCTGTGCAATTTACTGCTCCTGAAAACCTGCTGGAGGGTCAGCTGTGAGTCTGTTCTGAATCAAAGGCAAATAACAACAACGAATTATCAGGGAGCTCTGGTGGCTTAGTGGCAAGGAGTTGCGCTGCCAACTTGAAGACTGTTGATTTGAATCCACCGGCATCTCTGCCTGAAAAAATGGGGAATCTCCTCCCGTGTGAAAACCTACTTGAGGGTCAGCCATGAGTGGGTTCCAGATTAATGGTACATAACAACAACAATGACAAAGAAAGATTGGCGAGAATACTTTGCAGGTGGTGTGTGCTGCCTGTGTATGCATGTTCACAAGACTCTGGATATATATTGCTAAAGAGCTTTCCAGAAAATTTTACTGATCAGTCTGCCCACAAGTTGGGTATAGGAGGGGCCAGCCTGACTGGATCCTTGTTAGCCTTAGTAAAGATAGTTCATTTTTACTTATTCTTTTTATTTCCTGAATTAAGCTATGTAGAGAGAGCTCTGGTGGCTTGGTCATTAAGAAGTTACACTGCCAGCTCAAAGGCATATGGTTCAAATCCACCAGCAGATACATGGAAGAAAGATGGGGAATCTCCTTTCATACGATTTACAGCCTCTGTAAACTCACTGGAGGGTCAGCCATGAGTTGGTTCTGACTCAACGGCACATAACAACAATAACAACAAAACAATAACAAGCGTGAGGTGACTAGACTTCCTTATCTACTAAGGTAGAATACTTTGAGAACCTCCAGGTACCCATATATAAAAATAATGTCATTTCTTTAGCCTTTAGAATTGAACCTGAACTAATGAAAGTTTATAAAATTACAATTGAGAAAATTAAAAATGACAGAAAAGACAGTAGAGTAGAAGAGTTAAGTATTATTAATAATTTTAAATGGGGACCTGAGTGATTAAAGTATTGAATGAGACTATAAACAATGCTCGAGTATTCCCTTTTTCCATCTCATATACCTGCAGAGAGCTAGTGTTGACAGAACTGGTAAGTCTGCATTCTAAACTACTCTTAAGAGTAATATTGGTAAGCAATCCTGATAGACATCGGTTTAAAGTACCTTACTACTCATACTCATTGCTCTGAAGTAAGAATTTCCTCACAGCTGACCCTACATTGGAGTTCACAAGCTGTGAATTGCATGCGGGAAGATTGTCCGTTTTCCTCCCGGAGAGCCAGCTCATGGTGAGTCCAAAAATGTACCATCTTTGGATTAGCTGTGCACCTTTCTAGACACTAGGCCAGTGGAGCTTTAAAGTGCCTTATTGTTGTTGTATATTGTAGAGTTGGAATCACCCATAGCTGATCCTCCAGCTTGTTTTCAGAGTCAGTTTATCGCACGGGAGGAGACTGTCCATCCTTCTGAGGGGCATCTAGCTGGTGGCTTCAAACCATGTGCCTTTGGGATTGCAATGCAGCTTCTTATCACTAGGCCACCAGAGCTTTTAACCTTAATATATGTGAAAAAAGGAATATGAAGGGTGGGATCCCTCGTAGTAATGAATTAAATTTAGACTTCTTTCGGGCAGTACTATTCCTGCCTTTGGGATTTGCTTGCAGCTTGCTAACTTAATATTCATGCATATCCTCCTCACCATTGCATGGATTTTCCTGAATTTAGCTCTTGGTTATCACAGAATGCTCTCTCTTGAAGGAATAAAATAATAATAATAATAATAATAATAATAATAATAATAATAATAATAACCAACCCCTTTTTTCTCTCTTTTAGTTTAATAAACAATCTTCGACTCAGACACCAGGGCGGGAGCCTTCCACTCCCCGAGTACAGAAGAGGGTTCGCGCCCGTTCCTTCAGTGGGCTTATCAAGGTAGGGGCACTGCTGGTGTGTCAACACCACGTGTGTGGAAATGTGACAGCCTGACTTCTCTTATGCATTAACTTCTTTGTAGTCCTGTCAGTGCTTCATTTTTAAGATGTAGACATTCATTTATAAGGACAGACTTTGGAAAAGCTTTTATTTTTCAAAGTATTTTGCTATGTTCCAAATCAGAGAAATGATTTCAAAACAGGAGCTCTATGATTTGGGACGTGAGAAGTGAAAAAAAAAGAAAGATCCACGCTTTTGTTCTGGGGTGGGCACAGAGTCCTGATTACCTAAACACATTAAAGAGTTTTTCTCTTTTTATCCTGCTTTGTTCTATACACTTTGTTGTATAAGTCTCTAAATTTATGGAGAAGTGAAGAAATTGAGAGATATTCAGAGAAATGGATTTTCCAATAGATTAGCGAATTTTTGTGAACTTAATAACCTGTTATGCAGATGACACAACCTTGCTTGCTGAAAGTGAGGAGGGCTTGAAGCACTTGTTGCAGAAGATCAAGGAATACAGCCTTCTGTATGGATTGCATCTCAGTGGTCAGGGAAACAAAGAGTCTTAACACTGGACTGATAGAATGGATGGAGAGGAGATTGAAACGGTCAACAGCTTCCTCTTGCTTGGATCCACAATTAACACTCTTTGTAGGAGCAGTCAGAAAATAAGGAGACACATTGCACTGGGGAAATCTGCAGTTAGGGACCTTTCTAAATTATTGAGAAGTAGTGTCACTTTTAAGACTCTGACTCAGACCATTGTCTTTCCAATTACTAGCTCTAGATCCGAGAGCTGGACAATGAATAAGGATGACAGAAAAATAATTGACACCTTTGAGCAGTGGTGTTGGGGAAGAGCACTGGATGGCCAAGAGAACAAACAGATATGTTTTGGAGAAGGTGCAGCCGGAGTGCTCTTTGGAAACCAGAATGATGAGGCTTCGCCTCACATACTTTGGACATGTTGCTGGCAGGGGCTATTGTTTGTAGGACATGATGTTGGGAAGGGTGGAGGGTTGGCAAAGGAGAGGAAGACCCTCAACCAGGTTGATTGATATGGTGACTGCTACAATGGGCTCTGTGTATCAGGAAGTGCGAGGATGGCGCAGGATAGAACAGGGGGGTTCAGATCTTTTGTTCATAGGGTTACTATGAATTGTGCCCAACTCGACAGCACCTAACAACAACAACATTTTTATCCGTTATTTTGTATTCTTGATAGTAATCCTTTACTGTTGCTGCCATCACAGTTCACAGATTGAGTTTTTGAGTCCTCATCAATGATGTGAACTTGCAGTTAAAGAATGTTGCCATCAGGTGGCAGTAGATACTTTTGATATGAGGTTCAAATGTCTAAGGATAAACTAAGGAAGGTTCTGGTTACCGTGAATAGAGAGCAGCACTAATCTGTATTCCATTTGTTTAAGTTATTTTTACCTTTATTAAAATCTATTTATAGCAACATTATATGAAGCTCTTATGCTTAAAATGTTAAAATTTTACTCTAAGAAATAAATAACCTTTTGCTTTTTCTGCCATCTTGGAGCCCGTGAAGGCCTCCTGGGAGCAGGACTTTTAAACTACAAAGGTGACTGGGAGGCTATGGTGCAAAGCCACTTTTTCTGGCTATAAAGGAGGTATCCAGAACCAGCACACAGCTCTTCTTAAAATTGAAGATGTTTATGCCTGAGATGAAATGGAATTCTATTTAGATAAGAGATATGCTTATGTTTACAAAGCAAAAAATACTACAGTGACTCCTGGTGATAAACTTATCAAAACCAGAGTAAACTGGGGGGAGGTAACTGGTGCCTACGGAAACAGTGGCATGGTTTGGGCCAAGTTTCAGAATAACCTTCCAGTGCTGAGGCTGTTGGACACAGGCTCCATCTCTCGAGGATTCAAATTTACTGAAAAGCAAATAAAATTATGAATTTGAAAAACCCCAATAACCTTTTATTAGTTTTTCTTGAAGCTGCAGCTATTTAGTTATTGAAACATCATCTGGCCTCAGTTTTGGTCCTCATTCACTTACTCATTGCTGTTGAGTTGGAACAGACCTTCCAGAAGATTTCTTAGGCTATATGTCGCATGGGAGGAGATTGCCTGTCTTTCTCTCTTGGAGCCACTGGTGGATTGGAATCACCAGGGAGGCAACTCTCTAAGAACTATGCCACCAGAGCTAGTTATAGTTGATATATGTTTAGAATTCACTCTAAGTTCCAATCTGCTGGGTCAGTAGCCTTCAGGACATTAGGCTGGCTTGATTTCCTTTACTAGAACCCTAGAGTGAGCTCTTGTGCTCTAGTCCCAGAGAATCATGCTGCTAACTCAAAGGCCGTACGTCTCTGCCAGTTTGAATCCACTAGGGGCTCTGTCAGCAAAAGATTGCTGATCATCATGAAGAATAACTACAACATTGAGAGAAATACCAGAAATTCATTCTGGGTTTAGAAGAGGGCACAGCACCAGGGGTGTCATTGCTAATGTCAGATGGATCTCGGTGGAAGGCAGAGAATACCAGAAGAATGTCTGTTTATGTTTTGTTGACTATACAAGGGCATTTGACTATGACTAACGTTGAGAAGAATTAGAATTCAAGAGCACTTAATTTATGCTTATACAAAACCTGTACCTAGACCAGGAAGCTGTTGCCTGAACAGAAAGGTGTGCATCAAGGCTGTGTCCTTTCTCCATACTTATTTGGTCTGTATACTGAATAAATCATAAGAGAGGCTGGAATGAAGAAGAATGTGGCATCAGGATTGGAGGAAGACATCCACAACCTGCATTATGCAGATGATACAACCTTACTTGCTCAAAACAAGGACTTGAGGCACTTGCCGCAGAGGATTAAAGACTCCATATGAATTATATGAATTATATCTAAGCATCAAGAGAAAAAATATCCTCACCACTGGGCCAGTGGGCAACATCATGGTGGACGGAGAGAAGAGTGAAATGATCAGTGATTTCATCTAGATTGGATCCTTAGTCACTATCCTTGGTACCAGGAGTCAGGAGATTTGGAGAGGTAGGGCGTTGGGAAAGTCAGCTGTCAGGGACTTCTCCAAAGTCCTGAAGAACAATGATGCCACTTTAAAGACTTAAGGGCACCTGATTCAAGCACATGGCTTTTCCATTTACCTGCTGTGCATTTGCGGACTGGGTAGCGAATAAAGATGACAGGAGAAGAATTGATGCCTTTGAGTTAGGATATTGGAGAAGAATACTGAATAGCCCATGGACTGCTGAAAGAACAAACATACGTGTCTTGGAGAAAGTGAAACCAGAGTGCTTCTTGGAGACAAGGATGGCAAAGCTCTGTTCACATCTTTGGGCATATTGTTAAGAGAGGCTATTCTTTGGAAAGGAGCATTATCCTTGGAAGTGTAGAGCAGAAGAGAGGAAGATGCTCAGTGAGATGGATTGACACAGTAACTGCAGGAGTGTGCTCAGATGTGTCAGAGGTGATGAGGCTGGTCAGGACAGGATTCAGATCTGTTGTTCATAGAGTCTCTATGAGTTGTACTTGACTCAGTGCCACCTAACAATGCACAGCTCCGTGGGAGAAAGGACAGCTTCCTCCCATGCAGTTTACAGCCTCAGAAACTTGTTGGAATTCAGATATTGGGCAGTTCCAGGCTGGTGGCAGTGAGTCTGAGGTTTTTTTGAGACCCCTAGTAGTGCAGTCGCCTGTTTAGATGCAGTTAGTAAAATGAACATCTTTGGTTTTATCCTAATTTTTTCTTTTCTATTGGAAAAGTATGTAATTTCTTCTGACTTTTTTGTCATAGAGATAATTGGAAGGAAAAAGGAAAATGATAGTAAAAATAGGTTTCTTTGTGTGCTTAGTAAAATGTGTCTTTACCTGAAGATGGAGGGTGTAGTTTACTGTCCTCAGTGAGCTCTTCTGGCTTTAGATATAGAGCTAATTGTTGCTTGAAACGCAAATTTAACACTATCCTCTCTCCCTCTTTTTTTTTCTTTCTCTAAAATAGGCCTTATTTAAAATGCACACTTTGGTGAAAATAGACTGAGGCTCAGTTGATGTCAGTCAATAGTATCCTCTTGATCGCTTCCCATTTCTTTATCAAGAGAGAATTTAAAGGGGCGCTCTGGTGGCCTAGTGGCAAGAAGCTGCAACTACAATCCCAGAGGTGCACGGTTCGAATCCACCAGATGCTCTGCCGGGGAAGGAGGGGCAATCTCCTCCTGTACCAGTCAGATCTGATTTGACGGTACATGCACACAAAAATAATAAAAAACAAAAAAATAGAATTTAAAATACTAAAATTTATAAAAAACTTATGATTTTGTCATGATAAGACATTTTAGAATAATAAATTCAAATGCAAATGTTTACGAATTTTACAAAACAGAATTAAAAATATTTTCATTGTAAAGTTTTAGAACTAATAATAGTTCTAAGTTTTTGCCGAATAGCTCTGTAAAAGAATGATGAAATGTCCTTTTAAAAGTTTAGTGGTTAATTTGTAGGATTGTTGAGATGGTGTGTGTTTTGCTATGTATATTTTCACCACTGTTTAAAAAGAAAAGTGGAGTGGAAGCTTAGGACCAGTCCTGAGGCTTCTCTCACCCCAGATCAGCTCGCTCTGAGGTGGTATCTGACTGTCGAGAGGAGGATGGGTGGTACTTGTCTTATTTTCCCCACATTTCTACATTTTTACCAGTTTGATTTCTGTCTACCTTTGATCTTTTTTTTTTTTTAAGTTATATTTTTTTCCTCTGGAATTCATCTCATTTAAATCTTTATCAGATCAGTATATTTCATATATATATATATATGCTGCAGAGTATAATGTTTTCATTTTGACATGTTCTTTTTTTGGAATTAAAATTCTCCAGGGGGGAAAAAAAGGAAGATTTTCTGCAAAGATGGTTGAATTGTCACCGTCAGCTGTTACAGTAGGTTACATCAGCTCCTAAGCTCTTCCGAGACGAGAGGATATTTTGTGTTGCTCTGAATGTCAGTGTAGCCACGTGAGCCTCTTAAGAAACCTATACATTCTCGTGGCTTTATTAGGAACTCTTAGAGAACCTCTCCAGATTTCCAATCCTGTGTCATGACATGTCATCGAAGCCACATCATGATGGGAAAGAGAGTCAGCTTTAACTAAGTATCCTTAGTAATCCTTTTAATAGCTGCCAGAGATAATATATCCTAGGGGAAAAAATTATACTGGCAAGTAACTGGTATCAGAGGTACCCTGTAATTGACCTGTATTAGCTAGTTTAAGTCAGTTATCATATTATTTCTGTCACTCCAGCCCTTTTAAATGTAGAGGAAAAGTAACCACTTAAAGGCAAGGTGTTGATGTCAGGGTTTTTTAAAAAACATGTTTTGGCCTCTTTGTGTAATGATGTAACCTGGGAGAATCCATACAGCGATCTGAGATTTTTGTTTTATACCTGGCCACATTGTAGTTTTAAAGGCCCAATTAGCTGTAATATTGAGAGTAGATGTTTATAAGTAAACTCTTTTCTCTTCCTAAACCAGCGAAAGGTCCTGGGAAGTCAGATGATGTCAGAAAAGAAAAGCAAGTACCCTACTCCAGAATCTGTGGCCCTTGGTGAATTGAATGGAGCCAGCAAAGAAAATGTGAACTCGGTAAGACACTCGCTATTCTTCACACTCTCTGCCCGTGTGTATTTGTACAAAGGGGGGAAATTGATACTGTGTCATCTGTTTTCCTGTGATTCTCTGGATGGTTCGACTCTGCCTTTTCCCAATTAATCTTTTCCTTTGTGTTGTCTTCTCTCTGTGAGCTTTCACTGATTCATTGGTTTATTCAGCAAACACAGTTGTAAGCCTGCATGACAAATGTAGTGAATTATTCCGTAAACAAAGTGCTGGAGGAAGAAGCAATTAATTCTAACTGAAGGCTCGCAGGGCAAATAACACTTGAATGAAGGCTTGTTGCTGCTTTACCTGTGGACTAAACCTTTAGGTATCCTAGGCATGGTTAGGTCAGTAAGCTACTAATAGAATCAGTTAAACTCATCAGCTTCAGTAAAACTCTTCACAAATATGTAATTCCTCTGATAGTAGCATCTCTCTTTGGAAGTGATAGAACACTTAAGCCACTGTAAAATTTTCTTGTTACAGTTATTTTCTGGCTCACCAGCTATCAAAATGACACCAACAAGATTGAAATGGTCTGAGGGGAAGAAAGAGGGGAAAAAAGGTACTAATTATGCTTTTTCTGTAATTTTACTGAATGTAGCTTATTACTGCATCTAGTCAGTCAGCATTTTTTTAATCTATATTGTAATGCAGTTGTAATCTGAAGCCGTGTCAAAATGATGAGGCTGAGTCCTTGTGGTTTAGTCTACTTAGCGGATGGTTAGTGAACATCTCCTTCTCACTGCCCTGTGTGCTGATGGCAGAGCTGTGAACTCAGAGTCACATGGTCTCTATTCTTTTTTAAGTTGCTTAATAAATAATGAGATATTTTATATGTGTATATAGACAGACACATGCATAAAAATATCTTAATATTTAGTTGTTGTTATGTGCCGTCGAGTCGCTTGCGACTCATAGCGACCCTATGTACAACAGCCCTAAACTCTGCTCTGTCCTGTGCCAATCACACTGTCTCTGACACTCCCATCCCGATTACCCCAGTCACTGAATCAATCCACCTCATAGAGGGCCTTCCTCTCTTGCACTGTCCCTCCACGCTCCCAAGCATGATGTCCTTCTCCAAGGACTTGTCTCTCCTTACAGCATGACCAAAGTATGTCAGACGAAGCCTCAGAATCCTGCCTCCAAGGCGCAGCCTGGTTTAACTTAATATTTAGTAAGCAAGTTAATAACAAGGATAAGCTATTTTGTGTAAACAAAGCATAGAAATTCTGACTACTCAATACATGTGGAATGGTTTGTGCTCCTTTTTTGTGTAAACTTTTGCCTTGTTTATTCAGTGATGCTTTCTATATAAACACCTCTTACAAATAGGACACTGGTGATTATATAACACAACATATTTTTAAGGCTTTTGAAAACAGGATTATTTAATCCTGGGACTACTGATTGCTTCAGTTTCTGCTAAAAAGGCAGTGGCTGCGGTACTTACCTATGAAGAAGTCTTACTGCTGCTGTCCTGTGAAGAAGATGTGTGGTTCACTGCTGTGACAGTGGGATTAGTAGTTAGACTTGATTTGAGTCATCATTTACTCTGATAATGCTAGTCATTCCCTCTGAACCCAAGTCGTCTTTGAAAATGAAGATACTAGTTATATCTTTATCACTGTGAAAAGAGTGTGGGGTCAGCTGCATCTGACTGACCTCTACTCACTCCACAAGGGACAGCTGTCCCCATCAAGAACATTCACAATACAAAACCAATTTCTATGTGGTTAGACATGACTCCCATGTGCCCACACCCACTTCTACTAATTCTAATGCCAAAAGTCCACTCCTCTATTGGGTCTAAATTTGTTGTAATAGCTACACATACCTCACAGTGCCTAGCTCACAATTATAGGGGTTATTAGGGAACATAACAGATTACAGCTCTGGTTGACAACAGGATACAATTTCTCATTTAGAGCAGCTTCTGAAGTATGCTCACAGGCCCATCAATTTTCAGCCTAAAGCTGTCAAAGGCCACTGTTACAAAGATGTCTTACTCTTGCCAATTATGGTGTCTTCTCCCCAATTTCCCTCAGTTCTTCAGCAAGTTTGGGCAAAGACCTCTGACTCTTGCTCCATGAGACAGCAGTCCTAGGTCAGCTCTCTCTCCCATGTTGGTCTCTGGTTCTCTGCTACGATTGCTCCTGTGCTCTTGTGTAGTTGGTCCCTGTGTGACTGGTATAGCAGTTTCTGCTGTCGAAGGATGCATGCTGTATCTTCTACTTCTTCCTTACTAGTAGTTAGGAAATTTCTGTTGTTGAGTCTGCTCAATTTAAACCTGGTGGAATTGTGGAATTGTGAAACTGGTCAGTCCCCTCATGGATAGTCTAACACACCCTATTTGCAAATTGTTATATCAATTTTGAGCAACAGATGAAGTCATCACTGGTTTGATTTTCTCATTTTTATCACCGAGACATGAGCACAGTTACTCTTTAAGACATCAGGAAAAGAGAGAACAAAGCTCAGTCCTCATGGATGATTCTTTTGTTCTCTTCTAGAAAATGAGATGTCAGTATAGTTTCCTTATTTACCCTTGAGTGAATTATCTGAATCCTCTTTTCTTTGCACCTTGCTTCAGACTGCTGGGCTGAGTTGTCTGATTGAGGCACATTCAGTGTCTGAGCTCTGTGTGTCTAAATATTTGTGCTTTCATGTCCATGAGTTAAAGCCAAGCATATGTTATTTTCAAAGGATATGTTTATTATTTTGTATCAATTACATCTTCTGTCACTTTCATTTTTTTATGCCACATTCATTTTTTAAGAAAACCAAGAAATAATCTTTCTCTGTTGACAACTGTGCTTTGGAAAGAAAGAAATGAGTTAAAGTAGGCAGGCAAGACAGACATGGACAGGTGAAACCTGTCTTTTGATTTCTTGACAGTGGTTACTATCTACCTTTTCCTGTTTTTTTGATGCTCTAAAGTTGCCTGTTCTTGTTTTTTTTTTTCTGCCCCTTCTTCGCAGCTTGTTCTATGTCCATAGCTGGTCTGTTCTCTGTGTGATGACTGCTCCTTAGCCTCTGTCACCAGGTTTGAATTCTTTTCCAGTCTGCAGGTTCAATTGTCATTATTTTATACAACAGTGAATATAATCCTATATTTTTTGAGTGGTGATAGTGAGATTTATAAAATTAATTCATTTTCTTTGATGAAGATAATGCAATTTTATTATCATGATTAATAGAAAAACCCAAAAGACATTTACTTAGCCCAGAGTTTCTCACCTAGCCATGTATACTTGCTTTTTTTCTGAAGTATTATTGATACAACTAAAATGTTGATATTTAATAAGATTTTTGTAGTTATCTATTTCTCATGCATTATCTTATCTTTGAAGCTGTTTTCTCTTTTGGAGGACAACCACTACACTTAATGTGTTTTTGGTTCCCTGCCTCCTTTTTTCTTTCTGCCTCCTGATAATGGCAGTACTTTTTATGTAGTTGGCATGTTGTACGTCTTTGTGAGATGGGTAGCTGTGTTAAGAACACAAGCTGTGCCTTCACTTAGGCTTAGGTTCAAATCCCAGTTTTGCTATTTAAGAACTGTAGTTTAGGACAAATTAACTTGCATAGGTTTTACATTTTTCACCTATAAAATGGCATGTTGTTGTTTTTAAGTGCTGTCAAGTACAACTCATAGCCACCCTATGGACAACATCTGAACCTGTCCTGTCCTGTCCCATCCTTATCATCCCTGTCACATTTGAGCCCATTGCTTCAGTGGACATTATTGTGAAGATAAATGAACTTACAGCAGCCCTTGACACAGGATATGCGCTTAATAAATGATAGCCGTTATTGTCATTAAGATGACTTAATGAGAGTAGATTCATCAAATAGATGCATTTTAAGTTGATTCTGATTCATAGCAACGTAAATGCTTTCCAAGACTATAAATCTTTTTAGAGGCAGACTGTCATATCTATCTCACACAAAGCAGCTGGTAGATTTGACCCACTGACCTTTTGGTTTAGCAGCCAAGTGCTTTAAACACTGTGCCACAGAGTCATACATTCTTAATTGCTTTAACCCTTTTAGTTTCTATTAGAACAACTCATAGTTACAAATCTCTAGCTTCTAGTTGGGGTGTTTCCATAAAGAAGTAATTACAAACGTGCTGAATGTTCCTGGTTTTCTTTCCACAGGACTCCTCTGAAGGCTCCAGCATCCTGGTGTCCACACAGGAGCTGTCTCTTTAGTGGACCAAGTCTTCTGACCACTCACAGCAGTGCTTGGACTTGCAGCCTGCTTGCTGCATTTTGAATCGTGAAAGCCGACTAATACCTGACTGATACCTCTAATCCCACTCACTGGATGTGCAAACTGTGCCTTCTGAACAAATGCTATGAACTCACTCTCTCTCGCTCTTTTTTTTTTTTTAATATTATGGGAAAACCACTAACCAGCCAGCCAGCTTACACAGCACGATGAAAGGGCAGAATCTGGCGGATTCTCATGTTCAATTCATTGTGTTTATTTAGGCACATTCTGTTTTTAAAAAATATGAACTATGTGTTTAACTGCCAGTGATTCTCTTTTAAGACTGCCCATCCTCATGGATTGGTAGTATATTTAACTGATATTGTGGACATTTCCTCTGTTTTGATAATGTTGGGAATATGTTGGTGGGTTTTGTTTGTTTTATTTCTTTGTTGTTTTATAAGCCATTTTGTGGGGGCTGAGGGGATTAACTAGTCTAAAGGTCTCTGCATTCTCTAAACCAGATGTCTTTTACCCTTTTTCACCTCAACTTGGAGAAAGCTCTTTATCTCATGGAATAAGTGCCTCAGTCCCTTGTTTGTGTCCAAAGAACACAAGTTTCTTAGAAATGTTCAGTTACTACTTAGATCTGAGATGGAAAGGCATTGGACCTATAATACTGAAAAAGAAGAAATCAGAATGATACAATAGTTCAGCAGAATTCCATTATTAAGCTCTCTTCCTCCCCCCGCCCCAGACCCTTTCTGCCTCCCTTTTCCACCTTTCTTAGAGATGTCAGAATAGTTGTGTGGTTGTTGTTGTTCTTATTTTTCATTCCATTTCTTCTCACCTGAAACATCTCTGGTGCCACTATGATCCTTCTGACCTTTGTTCTTCTGTGCAAAATCGCTGTGACTCAGGCAAAGTCACTGACAGCGTCCTAGGAGCCTCCTGAAATTTTTGTATGTAAGGGAAGCTCCGGAGTGTCAGGATTTGGGTGGGACTGACTGGCCTTCTGTCACAGAGTGACTGTATTTGGTGGGATTCTCTTCCATCCTTCCAAGGCTTAAGATGTGCAGACCAGACCATCTTTTGAGGATGAATTGGAGCTGGAGGGAAGGAAGCAAGCATCAGTTTTTGCAGGACTGGTAAGACGTAAAGAAGAGAATGTCCTAAAGTGGAAGCAGCTGTGGCTTCTCACTAATGTTGAAGAAGCAGTCGCTGTGCAGTGTCGTCTGCTTGTCCAAATGGGCACGGGGTAATCTGGAGATGTGCTGGAGCTTTGGTTGGCTTGGTGATGTTCACATAAGTTTGAGGTGAGCCATGGTTTTAATGTAGTAGGAGTAT